AACTTTCAATAAATCAAGTGCCTTCAGGCATTTAGTTTTTAGGGATTTGATATGCGGAAGATAGGTTAAATGGGAGTCGAAAATTAGACCCAAGAACTTGGCCTCTTTTACAACCTTGATGGGAGTGCCATTTAAAAACAGTTCAGGGTCTTTATGTGGTATGTATTTACGGCAGAAATGTATGCAATTAGTTTTGGACTTAGTAAAATTTTAAGCCGTTTTCAAAACACCATTTATTTATTTTGTTTAAACAAAACTGTAGTTGCTGTTCAATAGTATGCATATTCTTACCGCGACAAGAAATGTTAAAATCATCCACAAAAAATGATCCATCGATTGAATCATTTAAAACCTTTGATAAACTGTTGATCTTAATACTAAACAATGTTAACTCCAGACTGTGACGGAGGGTTAATTTTCACCAGTACGTCATGGGGTTAATGTTGAACAGTACTGCAGATTACAATTGTCTACTTGAACTTTCACTTTGTATATGAGGCTGTGGATTCTAACACTTCATAGCCATGTACAGCAAGGATTAAAGGAAGTAAATCAGATTCATCCTGGTCGAACTGAAACGGCAGTTATTATGAATATGTTTTACATTTGGGGTTTTATGAAAAAGTTAATATGGAGAAATGTAATCGTCCAGCATTTATTCCACTTTTCGCTATTTTTACAGCCTTGGACCCGCACGATGTAAGATGTCTTTCTGATTTCCAAGAAACGACTTGGTTGAGTAAAACTGTGCAAATATGCAACATGTTAAGATGAAATTTTAAAAAGCTTTTTCACAACCTATACTTGTAGAAAAACGTAGTTTGAACTGTTACTAGAACATATAAAGATTATGAGTGTTTTTGTCTTGGACTTCAGTAATGTTTAGATTAAGAGTCAATAGCTAACTATAGATGAGGCAGAGAAAGGTTTGGGGAAATTAGGGAGATATGCCAACAAGATTGAATGACTATTTAGACAACAGGTATAAAGAAGATAGGGAACAAGGACGAATGAAATATCATATAAGTTGTCACAACACGGAGGAAAGCCGAAAATCCCAACATGGAAACAAGGCAAAATATCTGAAAAGTAACTTTGAAAAGATTTGGCAATGCGGTGGAAGCGTGAACGAAATCACAACAAATATTTATGGCTGATTAAACGTAGAAAACCCAGGGAAAGGCCACAATTCACGGAAAGAAAAAAGTTAAACTACACTCATGGAACACATTTTCATATTGCCATGAAACTGAGCAACCATTACCATTGGTATGAATACTGGAAAGCTTAAACGCCATTGTTTCCTGAAAGTTGATATTTTGGACTAAACAATAACAACAAAATCATGAAAATTTGCAATATTTTAATTTACAAAATGACATGAAAACATCAGCGATGTTTTGTCAACAAAATTTATCCCTGTACAACTATGGGGCTACAGAGTTGCAAAATGGGAGAGGTGAGTGTCTCTCTGTCATCTTCAGACAAGAAATCACATGAAAAATGTTAATAGCGTGCATATCCACCTTGTGCACGGATGACTGCTTTGACCCTCCTCCTCATGCATGTCGTGAGTTTCCGAATTCGCTCCAGAGGCAGCTGCTGCCACTCCCGGCGCAAAGCTGCTTCCAAACATGCCAGATCTTGCACAGGCGGATCCAGTGCTTGCACTCGGTATCCAAGAATGCCTCAGACAAGCTCCAATGGGTTGAGATCCGGGCTCATAGCAGGCCATGGAAGTTTGGTTACAGCGTTGTTGGAGAAAAACTGTCACAAGTTGGGAACGATGTGGTCGGGCGTTATCATCTATAAATACAAGACGAGTGGCTAATGCGTTGTTATCAAAATGTGACACAAGAACAGAATCCAGAATGTCCCGGATGTCGTGGTCGCCAATGAGATTTCCACAAACACTTACCAAGTTCAGTTTACAATCATGGAAGAGACAACCCCAGACCATGACAGATCCACCACCGTAAGGAACTGATGCCATGATGTTCTTAGGCGCTCTTCTTGGTCCTCCAGACACGCTGGCGCCCGTCTGTGACGTGCAATAAAAAGTTGCTCTCATCCGACCAATGCACCTTCCTCCATGACGTCAAATTCCATTAACGTCGGGGTAAACACCACTCCAAATGAGCTCTCTTGTGAAGATTGGTCAAGGCTGGACGCTTGATCACCCTTCTTGCCCTCATCCCAGCCTTCATGCGGTTTCTTACAGTCCTATTGCACAGACGTCTGTTCGGGAGCCATAGGTGCTTCAGGACGTCTTTGTAGTGAAAGGCTGATGTCTCACAAGGCTTGCTAAATCCCGATCCTCAACTTGAGACGCCTCTGGGGTTTGACCTGACCTGAACAAGTCGACTTATGACGGTGTGGTTAATGTCAAACTGTCGCCCAATAGCCCTGCATGACATCCCGGTGTCGTGCATTCCAATAATTTGCCATCTTCTTGCTTCTGGTAGTCTCCTTCGTGCCATTGTAACAGATACTGGTAAAATCATTATAATGTTTTGGCGTTTAATACAGTTAGCGCATTGAGTTAATAGTGCTTTTTCAGACAATCGTGGGTAGTGTGCTTCAACTGCATATTGGGAGTTGTTTTGACGATTGATTTACCTAAACCCTCAATAATAATGAAAGGGAATACAGTTCAAATAATAGTCATCTTTACAATTCAAGATTGATCATTAGGTAAGTCAGTAACTTAAAATATGTTTGGGGTGCTTAATTAAGTTCCATGTGTATATACTATGGTGGAGGACACTGTCAATACTCATGGTACTAACACTGAGGAATCACATAGAAGTCACAGGGTCAACTGTTCAGATTTACTAGACAGAAGGAAGAAACACTGATAGCACTCTAGGAATTTAAAGAATAATATACAGGAGACTACACTAACTCGGTGCGCCTAGTGGCTGCAAGAGTTGTATGGTCCCCAGGGAGTTGAGATTGATAATACGACGTGCCGTTGAGATTGACATCCAGTGATAGAGGGAAAAAAACAAAGCGCCTTTGAGCAGCTGAGCTGGATATCGTCGCTATACAAATGTTAGTATGTATGTATGTACTACAAAACAAATCAGCTGCACATCGACATGACAGATACGACACATAAAATTACCAGCAGAATGTGATGCTGCACAAATCGATCGTTTTGCAAATGTAGAAAGCTTTATAAAAAGGGCAAACACAAACTGTAGCCGAAGCAAACACAATAAGAAGAAATGGAGAGGAAAAAAGCCATCGATTGGAGTGAGTGAGTGAGTTAACATTTATCGTCACATCGACAATATTTCAGCCATATCGTGAAGAGTACAATTAATTGTTATACATAGTAATTAATGGTAAATTGTAAAAACCTGTCAACGAAGGGCAGTAAAATAACTAGATGATCACAGATTCCAATTTAAAACTAGTAATTAAATCTAAAACAGTTTAACTATAGATGACATTAAAATATATAAACAGGCTATAGATTGCCAACAAGTGAAAGGACTAGGGACCATGGGGACTTACAGTACATTTGCTTCCTGCATGGACCCGTGCTGGATTTACACCATCCCTTCAGCTATTAGCAATTTTAGACAATCTAGCCATAAATTAATACGACATATATACTGCGATTAAAAGGTTGGTAAGTTTAAATTCACCTTTAACGTTTTGGGACTTACGTACCATCTCAGGAGCCATCGATTGGAGGAAAACAGAACAGAGAAATTGGAAGTATAGATAACAAAGTGACATACTGAGAGCACAACGTCCATATGTGGAGGAGGCCATCAGGAAACATTGACAAGAATCAAAATATAACGTCTTTATATCTAACTTCACTTAAGACAAAACACATTGTGCGTCAGTATTTGGACGGCATTGGTTTATTCTTCAAGTTGTACCAGACACATTAAATGTGTGTGCATGATTAAATATATCCGAGTCAATGGATATGTTTGCACATGAGATCCTGAAATATAATGGGGTTTTCTTATCTTTTTAAAATGGCAATTTCAAGAACCTGCAAACCTGTGGTGCGTTGGGCTGGAAGAGTTTTGATTCACAGACTTCATACACGAAATGATTTGCCTCTGTGCTAGGAAACAATCTTATCATTGTTTAGCGGCCGGTGGGCTAGCCTAGTGGTTAACACGTTCGCTCGTCACGCCGAAGACACCGGTTCGATTCCCTACATGGGTACAATGTGTGAAGCCCATTTCTGGCGTCCCCCGCCGTAATATTGCAAACGCGGCGTGAAACTAAACTCACTCACTCACTGTCATTGTTTAGCGTTTTCGCGCACATGTTGTACGTATTGTAGCTCCTGGTGACTGAGCATTGTTTACATACACGGTTCCCGCTCAGTTGGATCAATAGACCTTGATATAGTGGAAGGTGCATCATTGCAAACAGAGCTAACGCATGGCTTTCCTAAATGATTTATTGATATTCTGAAACATTAAGTGTACCGAGTTTTCGTTGACATTTATCAGAAATTAAACATGAAGCTGTACACCATTCATTCCCCGTCTCTTCGGACAGTGTACTGTTTGGGCTGCCTTATTATAGGAAGTGTTGTGTTTTCCCCGGATACAAACTTCCAACATCAGATTATCCCGTCTAACCTCACTTGTATATTGTTTGACACGTTGTGAGGTTACTGTGAGACCTGATATTATGATATTTACCTGCATGTCAATAAGAACTAATTCTTTCTTCTATAACACGTAGCGTGTACGGAATAAAGTCTGGCCGATTTTAGTGGAGGATTACTCGTTACAGCAAACTGATTACACAGAAATACCCTGAAACAAACCACACATTTACCATATGACATTAGGCAGCGTCAAGCCAATCACATACTGCTTCTCTAATCCATGGTTCATTGGACACTTCTGCAGTATAACAAGGGAGCCTCTGTTACTCCCACATGTGTAGGCTAACAGTGCATCAGTGAAGACGATACAAGGTGTCACGACCATATGTTGAGATAATCTGGAAACATGTGTCGGGTCCTTCTGGTGCTTCTCATCACTGTTTCTAGCAGACAGCTAACATTCTCTGCCACCATTGATGACTTACATCGTCTACGTCATCATCTATTCTCCAACTACACCTCAGATGTAAGGCCGTTACCGAACCAGTCACAACCTCTTGTCATAGATGTCGATTTCCAGTTCATAAGGATCCATCATATTGACAATACACAAAAGGAGTTCTCCATCCGGGGAATACTGTCCCTTGCTTGGAAGGACGAGTTCCTCTCCTGGAAATCAGCTGAATTTGGAGGTTTGAGACACTATCACCCGAAGAAGGGGGAGATTTGGACTCCAAGCTTTATCAATGGAGACGGTGTTGGAAACCAAGATGTTATGGAGACAATAACAAGGCGTGTGTTGTACAAAAACGGATCAGTTGTGGTTCGTGTTCCTGGGTATTTCTCAACCTTCTGTAACTTTGACATGACGTATTTCCCGTTTGACAGTCAGACTTGTAACATTCGTCTGAACTCCTTAGATTATTTTGCTGAAGAACTGGAATTCCGCCCTGTTACAAAACAAGTGACGACCATTGGACATTATAACATACATGCTGAATGGACTTTGGTCTGGGCTACGATGGCAAATGGTCAAATCACGAATGCCACGCATAGCTACAACAGACTTAGCATCATATTCCTGGTTGCCAGAAAGCCTTTATTTGCCATTTTAAACATCGTCATCCCCATCGTCACCATCTCCGTCCTCAGCATGATGGTGTTCCTTGTACCCGTGGAGTCTGGGGAGAAGTTGTCCTTCTCCCTATCGACATTGTTGTCACTGGCAGTCTTCATGAGCTTCATCAGTGAACAGGTGCCTGCATCGTCAGAAAAAACACCACTTCTAGTCATCTACTTGACATCGATGGTTCTGTTAAATGCTCTGTCAGTCGCCAGTACTGTTCTCGTCTTGCTGTGCTATTACAGAGGCTCTGTTGACAAGGAAGCCTGGGCATATAACAGTTCATCCAACACGAATACGACTGATGATGTGGTGGCGAAACCTTCATTTGAAAAACTCAATCCTTTGATTTGCTTTGGGAAGAATAAGAAATATATGCCAGCCAGCCGTGTCGTGAACCACACGCTGCTTCTGCTGTTTATGGGAGTTGTGATTGGAATTACTATTGGTATCATGGCCAGAATGACAAATAACACCTGATTTTTAACAGGCACACTGACCAAAAGGAAGGTCGGATTGCATTTTAAACAGAAATATATTTCATTGTCATGATTGTGTAATCTATTATTTGATATTCCACAACATGCACTGCTTTATGATTTGACATGGACAGAAATCAGTTACTGAAACATCCGTGGAGCGATGTGGCTGTGGTCACTGTGGAAGTCACCTTATCATCGTCTGCATCAAACAAAGAGCCCTGTTTCAGGGGCCAGAAACGGTGGGTGCCCCTGGGTGCCCTCTTTCGCGGACGATCAATGGTTACTCCAGTAACATTGTAACGCAGCCTACGACGTGTACGTACCTCACGACCGCACCAACTTGTAAAGGAGCGTCTGCAGGACGTATGCCAGAGTGAAACTTTTCGATGGCTCCGTCACGAACATTATTGAGGATTCTTGGCATTTTCTACTGTAACCATGACAAAAAGACTGGATTCATAGTGTTTTCTAGTATGTGTTGTTACAACTGTTTTCACCCTGAACACCCTAACATTCCCAGGTACGACATGTTAATCGTGTGATGCACGCTCGTTCTACGTGGTTTTAGGATTGTTGTTGTAAATATTGAATGAACTGATACACGAACACGCTTGTCTGACCTATCAAATACCTTTTAGCAATTTTTATATAAAAATAGTTCAGTTAAATCATTTTAGAAATCGGACGTTTTTCTTCGGGTTTTTTCCTTGTTCAGTATATATGACAATGGTGAAAATGTAGTTCTCATCTATATTATAAACGTATGTCATGGGCAATGTAGTGCTGTTAAAGAACATTTCCGTACTTTTTCCAGTTTTTATGATACTTTAACACTCTTCTCACTCTTTACCATAACATTGACAGTTCAACCATCATTCAGCTCTGCACCATTAGACTTGTCTTGTCAGAATATGACGAAGATTATGCCGTGTCAGTCAGTCACTCGCTCACTCACTCACCCACTCATTCGAGGCATTAACAGTGGTCACTGTGTGACCTGTGTGGAAAACAGTTCAATGGTCGGTGGTATGAGCAGATTAATTAACAAAAACAATTACATAAAACGTATTGACAGGTCCTGTGTCCTCGAAGAGGAAGCTTATTAGACAGTGATGGCAGTGATGACTGACAGCAGCCGACTGTCTCTGTCGTACTTTTGTTGTTGTGAGTGTAATACCATTCACAGATAAGTTGTTTGAAATCACATTTATAATTTACCAAAAGAAAGGTATTTATAATCATATTTCTGATGGTTTTGGCACCATCCCTGCGATCTGTATTCAGGTTTCCATTCTAATATAACACCTATCCTTTCCTTTCTGGTAATATATAGTTTAGTTGTATATTCAGACACACTGATATACGAAGGTAACAAAGAACGAATTAAACTACGATAAATAATGTACTTACTGTGTGAATTGTATACCCACATGTGATATTATATCTGCAGTTGTGAGCTCTTCTAATACACTTTACACTTTGTCTTTGCTGCCATGGTGCTAACCATATTGAATAAAGACTTGTTCTCGAGACTTGTCATTTATATTCTAGTGTTCCTCTTTTAAGGAGTCTTTACTTCACTTGTTGGCTATTTATTACACAATGTATTGTGATATGTAGTCAGGGCCCCCGTTCGATCGTGAATCTTTTTATCTATAGATCTTTTGTCATTCGGTACTCATGTTATATTAAGTTAAATTTCATTGTGTTAAACTCGACCTGAGACCGGAGAAAAGGTTGTTACTTAGAAAACAAACTATCGAAATCCTTCACATCGTCGTAAAATGCATGCATGAGCTTTCACTAAGCACCAAATGAAGAGTATGATAATGTTTTACATTTTGGTCCACGCAGGCGATCATACCCTAGCATACTGGACTGCACAAGTAAAGTACTTGCTTCTCACAATATCTCAAAACCTGTGGATCGCATTTTCACTTGCTACGATGGCGCCAAGCACGTTGGGGTCTAAATTTCATATTTGCAGTTTGTGCACTACAGTTTTCTTAAACATCGTTTGAACATAACTTTGTACCGAGATGCCCATCTGTAGAAAAATGGACTGCTACTACTAAATAGATCATTTCCACCCACATACGTTTTATACCAATACAGCAAGTTGTTGTTAATCTCCTATTAGGTTTTTGGTTTTGGCACGGAATAACTGATGGGCTTGTAGTTCCTCTATGAACGTTTTTCCTCCTCACGAGATTTTGATTGATTTTCTTGTTTCATTTTATTGTATTTGTTGTGTTCCGCCAACACTAAATTAAACTCTTCCTCAGATATTTTTTCATCAGCCAGTTCCTTTGAGATATGATCCCCAATACTATCTAATTTTTAATATGAGGTGATGTATGTAAGAATATTTCGCTCATATGACGACCTGCATGCGTGTGTATGTATGGCTGCTTGTACTAGCCCAGGCTTAAGCTGATTTTATAGTGCTAACTCACTGAGATACCATGTCGCAGTTAAGCATGAATATCCCACTCAGACACATTGCCAGTCCTTGTTATACCCATTAATGCCGAGCGCCAGGGACCAACCAGTACCATATTTTAACGTCTTTTAGTATCACTTTAACCATTACACCACGGAGGCGGTCTTGGCAATATGAATACTCTTGTGCTTTACTGATTTCTTTGCAATCAGTGGGAAAGTGCTTAACCTAAAGCCCCTGATATTTCCACCTCTATTTCCATACCGAATACTATACGTGCGGTGATATTAGTTGATAATATACTAATCCCAGCAACGCCAAGCCCAGTACTACACTTCCTTTCAAAATAAGTGTAATAATAATAATTCATGTATTCATTGTATTGTATATATCATTTTGTATATATCTTTATATCCCTGTACATATAGTTTGTTTCACTTTTGCATGTAAGCACTGTAAATAGGAGAGGGTTTCACTAAGTTGGCATAACTTGTACCCAATCCATTCTCTTGAATAAATATGTTTAAATCAAAATCAAATCAAATCCTTTCAAAAGTTTAGACTCACTACTGTAAATATATCCACTTACTTCAGGCAACTGTTCTAAACTAACTTTTGCAAAATATTCCATACTGTTTAAAGGTACTGTTTACACATGAACTGATGTATTGTAAAGCAAATTCGTAACGTTGAAAAGATTATAGTCATGAGTTCAATAAATGATAAAAATCAGTGAAAGTTGGCGAATTCTTAAGAAAAAAATTCACCAAAACGCAGCTGTTCACATGCACGATATTTGCACATGCTTTTCAGCAATTTGATGCATGATCCTCGTGCAATTCATCTGCATAATGTTTGCAGTTGGTTCCCCCAAGTTAGTGTAGAAATCAATCTTCGATGTAACCCACACACACACACACACACACATATATATACATATATATACACACATACATAAGATATAGTGAGTGCTTTAAGTGAGTCTAAACTTTTGAAAGGAAGTAGTTACTAAATGTGCATTGTCAAAGCCATAAACATCATTCACAGCTCTATGATACGTTTTATGTGAAAGCAAAAATATCTCATTGTTGATATTCATGGGTGCTGCTCCAATTAATATTCGACCTTGTAATACAACGAGGTAATGGTATGGCGGATCACCAAGAAAGACCATAGCCAAAAGTGTGAGGCCCCGTTGTAAAGCCTTTAAGTTATTTAAATAAGCAAATATAAGGTAATATGTTGGAGTGCTGGATGACACATTAACATGTAACCCAGGATTCATGTGTAGTGGGGCAACGGCAACACTCTTTCGTTTTGATGGAATATAAGCCTCCACTACAATCCCACTCTTTCTTATCTAGGAAAAATACTGTTCATCACCCTTCACCATTACATATGGTGGTACAACTTGATATATATTAGCCAGTCGAGTTTTGTTTCGATCGTAAACCATTTAGCATCATCAGTGAGGGAAACATTGCACTAGGTGTTTTACTGGATTGTCTAACCCTGACATCTCTTAAATCTTCTAGATCACCTGGTGCAGCAGAAGCTGAGAGTGCATCTTATTTTCACTTGTATACATTATTTTAGCACAGAAAGCACAATTCTATTACATTGTTTAAGGCGGTGTGAACCGGGAGGAGAATCAACCATTTCTGTGAAGTGTAATGCTCAAATATCCTGTATGTGTAGGTTATTGTTTTGTATCTAATACTGAAACCCTGAGCTCTGTAATAATACCCTGTTTTAACTTCTTATACTGCAATGATGAGAAAAGATTCTGTTCTGCCACTAATGTAATTTTCTCTAAGACCTGTTAGTAGAGTTGAAAGACTTTCAATATTATCGGTTGTACCACTCTGGTTAAGATGGATGCAAAGCTCTTGATAGGGAATTTATGTCCACTCACTGAGGAGTTGGGCACCAGTCTTTCTGAAACCCAAGTGTACTCACAATCCTTTACAGAGTTTTCTAAGATGTGCCCCACTGCTTAGAGTCAGTTTTCTCGTTGACTCATTTAGACAAGCTCTATGAGATGATAGAAATACCAAGTATAAGCTTGGGGTGTTTTATACTGAAGGTAGAATAAGTGCTCCTGACCTCACCCAACCATTGATTGTGGTTGATGCCATGGGTACCAATGTTTAAACTCAATTGATCAATAACTGTAAAAATTTAAGTTCAGGGCAACAAGGATTAAAGAAGAACATGCATGGTTCTCAAAGAGCTCAGTTTTGCTATATGGTTCTATAACTTTGCCACAATGGGTTGTAGGGTATCTCTTAGTGAACATCGTGACAAACTTAGTAAGTCTGTTGTCTTCTTTCATATTTACTACCTGATTAGCAAATACTTACAGAAATAAGCGGACCACTCCCACAGGACCGTGCATGAAACAAAGAATCGGCGTGCGTATGGGCGCTTTTCTGAAGAATTTTCTGAAGGAGATAACCATGGTTTGGGTATCCCAAACGCTCAAGATATACTTGTTAAAGAAGCCAGCAAAAAAATAGAGAATGGGGGTACACGACGTATGCTGATATCACGAG